GAGGGAAAGGAGGAAGGGGTAATGTCAAGTTTTCTGATCCTCGTGGTGTAGCCATTACTCCAGACAAATTCATTCTTGTATCTGATAATCACAGGATCCAGAAGATAAGCATGGATGGATACCGTAAAGCATCAGTTGGTAAGGAGGGCAGTGGACCACTACAATTCAAGCATCCTAAAGGTATAGCCATTTCTCCTATAACAGGACAGGTTTATATTGCTGAGTATAGTAATCATCGTATACAAGTCTTGAATCCTGATCTAACCTTCTCTCATTCATTTGGTAATAAAGGATCAGCTAATGGACAGTTTCAGTCTCCAACTGACATTGCTATTGACAGTCAAGGATTAGTGTATGTTACTGATTGTTGGAATCATCGCATTCAAAAGTTCTCTCCAGATGGAAAGTTTGTGGGTCAGTTTGGTTGTTTTGGATTTGGTCCTGGACAGCTTAATTATCCAATAGGTATAACAATAGACACTGCAGCTACTGGTCTAGTGTATGTTAGTGAAGAGGGCAATCATCGTATATCAGTCTTCACTAGTGATGGTGTGTTTGTTAGTAAGTTTGGAAGTTACGGCAGTAATATTGATCAGTTTAATTGTCCTTGTGGATTAACATTTGATAAAGATGGATTCTTGTATGTTTGTGATTATAGTAATAGGCGACTTGTTGTTTATTAAAATGATTATTGTTTATTTTTCATATTCTAATATTAAATTTTTATAATTATTAATAATAATGACAATACTAAGCGAACCAGATTGCCCAGTGATTACAGTATCATCGAAGCTAATAATTAATTAATAATCTATTCGTTTTTTATGTACATAACTCCACCCTCTGCCATGCCCTGACGTACATGTACATGCAGGTGATATTATTATTATTATTGTTATCATTATCATTGTTATTATTATTATTATTATTATTATTATTATTATTATTATTATTATTATTATTATTATTATTATTATCTCCTCCAGTGATAGAGAGGGAGTGTCTGGTAGTGAGAGACTATTACTGGTGGCCTTCAGTGAGACGTCTCTTTGAGTCTCAGGTACTCATTGGTACTTCATTAAGAGGAACCCACAAACTCAGTTCTCACGATCTACTCACATTCATAATACAATCAGCAACCTTTCAAACTAATTAGTGAGTGGGCGGGGCAAAGTGGGTGGAGCAAGAGAGGAGGGAATTTATTTCTTAAGGAAATTGTTTTATTTCTGATCTGTTGCCTACAATTATGTACTTGTAATTCTAGCAAAGTCTAGTACAGACTAGCCTCTATATAATGGACACTTTGAAAGTGTCTCTGTTATACAGAGGTGTCCTTTATGTGGAGGTTATTTTATACATTAAGGAATGTAATTGGTACACTAGGTGCTGTCCGTTAAATGGAGGTGTACGCTATAGAGAGTGTCCATTAAGAGAGACTATACTGTATACATGTACATATGTACCTTGAATTAAGTTTTATTTACATGTATATATACTTCTCTCTCCCTTTCTCTCTCTCCCTCTCTCTCTCTCTCTCTCTCCCTTCCTCTCTCTCCCTCCAGCCGTTCATTAAAGCAGACTTATGAGTTAGCAATGTTAGAAGAAGGTGAGTTTGATGAGAGAGTGTTCCTCAACAGTTCAGAGACTGATCATGAGGAGGAGGAGCTCCTGGGAAGATCAGATGAAAAGAATGAGAGGTACCTCATGTATAGATACATGTACATGTACATATTAGATGAACTGGAATAATTAATGAACTGATTATACTAGAGGAGAGTATTATTATAATAGCTATAGTGTACTTTAATGGTAGGACTGGGACTGTATATTAGTAATAATAATAATATAATGTCATTTATCTCTTATTAATAAATTTATTTGTTATTATTATTTTTAAATAATAATAATATCATTTAATTCTTTTTCTTATTTTCTTTTCTTTAGATTGGAGCCAATCGGTGTCATTTATCAAGTAATTATTAATACATTATTGTTGTTATTATTATTTATTGTTGTTATTATTTATTGTTGTTGTTATTGTTTATTGTTGTTGTTAGTCTCCCCAGTATTTGCAGTATGGTACTCCGTTAAGCGGAAGAGAATATTTATCAACAAGAGAAAACAAGTAAACAAAACTGTAAACAACAACAACACTTTTATCTGCCACTAAAAGTCTCAGTTTTACAATAAAAACAGATCAGCATAAACCAGGACAAAATGACTGAGACTTTACATGTACAGCACATAATGTATCATTTATAATACTGTATTTTGAGGACTGTAAATTTTGTGAATTTTGTAATTTTTTTGAAGATTTGTGAAAATTGCTTCTGCGAAAAATCAAATTATTACAGTACAACATGGCAGATGGCCTAAATTTGTGAATATTAAATCCACAGAATAGATTTTTAGGCAAATTTGTGAAATTTACAGCCCTTGAAAATTTCCCACTATACACTATTAGCAGGTGTTGATTTCCCTCCATTATTGTGATTAGGTTGACTCCAGTATCAGATGCTAATCAATCAGTGATACAGTTACATTTATTATTAGAAGAATCACTACCAGAACCAACTGACATCATCTATAACACGTGCAGGTATATTAATAGTCTATTAACCTTAATATATTAACCAGTTAACCCTACGGAGATAATGCAGATAGGACCGTCTAACTATTATTAAAGTTAAATAGCCTAATCTTAATTGAAAGTGGGTGTAGTCACAATGAAGTAAAATGGCAGCTATCAGCAAGTCTGAGCTTATTTGCAGCAAACGGTCAGCAAGATAAAACTAAACTGTTATCCAAAGACTTCTTTAGTATCAAGGAAGGTCATACAGTACATTAATAGAGTGGCTTGGGGGTTGAGCTCCTTCAAATGT